ACGTATATATACACACACACACACAGGGTATATATATAGTATATATATATAACATATATATAACATACATACACACATAGGAGATATATATATATATATTATGACATAGTCTGAATTCTATTTTGGTTATTTGCCTGAAGTAAACAATTTCCCTGACTACATGACTTGAAAGTATTCAATCAGCTGAGCAATCAAAGGATAATATTAAGATTTTACTAAACTAGAAATGTGGAACCCTAAATCCTTAAAAACAAATATAAATCAGATTGATCATTTACTAATTATAAGACAATGAGCAATTTTCTAACCTTACCAGCCACAGTTTCTTCATCTATAAACTGTGGATGATAACTGTTTCTATATTGTGAGCTAAAGGAGAATTAAATGAGATAATATTATGGGGGATATATTTAACACTACTCCTGACAAATAATAAGCCCTCAAAATCTTATCTAACTGGCAATACTATATAAAAAAAAATAATCTCTCTTAATAATATCACTTTGGGAATAGAAAGAAATATGCCTTAAAACATAATTCTGAATTCATTAAAACTGACTCCAGATTTACACCAAACAAAATGATATATACTACAAGATAAATATCTAAAATAATTGTATTACTTGACTTACTTGAACAAAAATTCTGAGCACATAAAATACCCTTTAAAATTACAAGGATGGCCTTAAACAGACATGGCGCTTAAAACTGCTTTTAAATCAACTAGAAACACTAAAATTCCACTCTAGTCATTTTTTAAAAACTAGTATAAAAATAAAACTTGCAGGAGTCATTATGTATTGTTTACTAGAGATACAGTTAATTCACTTACATTTATTAGGAGCGACATATGTAAATAAACTCAGTCCTTCAAACACTACACACACACACACACACACACACACACACACACCCTGCCCCCCGTCAGGATTTCTAATGTAAAAGTACTAGTTTCATACCAGGGAAATACAACTAAGAGACAGTCATCATGTCTCTAAAAGAAGAGGGAAAAAGCACCTTGGACTCAGATAATTGAAAAAGTTACAAATGGTATCAGTGTCAGCACTGAGCAATACATAGCTCCATGACCAGAGCGCAGACATTTCTTAAAGCAACATAATCTAATAAAAAAAACTAGTAAGAGTCAGGGAATCCCTTTTTCTCCCACTGACTCACTACATGAATCTACACCAATCACGTGGCCTCTGAGTGTCAAGTTTTTCATCAAAAAATGGAAATCATGCTGTTCACTTCTCTCACAGTGAAATGAGAGTATTTATAAATGACCTCGGGTCACCTTGAAAAAGAACCAATTTAAAAAAAAAGAATAATGATAAATGACAATTGCTAAAAATAGAGATAACTCTGCTTAAAAAGTATATTTATTAAATGATTTTCAAAGGCTATATATAAGACCATAAATTACTACCAAAGCCAACTTAGTATGCTCAGGATATTAAAATAAACACCTTCAAGTAAACAGTTAATTACCAGACTTCTATAAAGCTCCAAGTCAGTAATTTCCTATTCATTTTATGGCAAATAAATGTGATAAACAGAATTGAAGTTACATTTCTCTAAAAGAAATTTTTATTTACCTCAGTCTTACCAATCACTTCATATAAAGCTGAAATCTTACATTTAAAATTTCAGAATTACTTACAATTATACTTTTCCTAATAAGCAATGGGATGGGGAAAGTTAAATGAAACTATATAAAACTCAAACTCTTGAGTTTTTATTTACTCTTGCATTAATTTTTACATCTTATTTTAAGAGAGTAAAAGTACCACAATAGAGTACGTCAAAATATACTACAGACAGGTTCAAATGTTTCCAGTATAGCAGTTTGATGATGGATTTGTAGCAAAAAATTAAACATGAAATAGTTTAGGAAGCCTTAGAAAATACATGTTTGAGCTGGGTAGTCCAGTTCCAAATAAACTTCATGTTTCAATTGGAACAGCTTTGCTCATAATAGTTTTGAAATTTATTAATGATTACTATGCAGAAAACCAAAACTACATTTACTACCCTACTGAAACTTTCATTTTCTTCCCCAAAGAGATTCTCAAATACACAGTCTTTCTTTCTTCAAACATAACTTTTTTCTTCTTAAAGGTGGACAGTAATGATCCTTAGCAGAGGTTCAAAATGCTTTCAAATAACTTTAGTAAACAAATGTTGAATGGCTTTCAAAAGGAAGCATCCTATACACTCTTTTCAAAACACTAACAATTATTAAGTATTTAAAATCCAACTTTAGTTTGATTTACTAGATTTTCACTGTTTACCTTAAAACTGATTTCTTTTCAAGTAATTCTTATAAATTATTGGTAACTATAGACTCAAGAGAAACAATAAACCATAATGTTGAAATTTCCTTTAAGCACATTACAAAATATTTCTCTAAATAATAAAACTAGCATTATAAGATTACTAGAACACTTATGGTTGTCTCCTTTCACTAAATTAAAAGATAATAATAATAATAATAATAATAGAAATACAAGAGTAGTCACTGGTCACTATCCTAAACGATACATGGGAGGTAGAGCAGGCTATTCATAACCTCTAGGGAAACACAAATTATTCCTTCCAACTAAGCTATCAAAAACTAAAAGTTCAAGCTTAGGTTTTATTCAAGTTTTATAATGTTCTCTCCTTTTAACATAACATATTTAATCAGTCTGGACCAAACCAAAAAATATATATATATTTTAAATCTACTTTGAAGAAATGTATACGTTATCTTAATAAAAGCTATCACACAACCTATATTACTAAAAGATTGCTAAATATGTAGAATTGGGAAAATACGATCTGATAAAAATTCACTTTAATTCCAAAGCCACACACACACACACACACACACACACACACACACACACAAATCAGTCATATAAACAGTTACCTAACACAGAGATTCAAGTATCTGTGTAAGAAAGCTCCCTTTAACTATAAAACTCTAAAAGTTGCTCCTGTTGATGAAAACTAAGCAAGCAGAACTCTTCTTTCCATGATCATTAACAGAAATACGTCCATCTCTTGACATGTCTCTGTATTTTATTTATATAAAAGTTGTAAAGACATTTATACTGAAGTCTTGATCTGCCTCCCCAAACACCACGCACTCTGCTTAAGATGGGAAGTGTTTTTCCCTGCTGTATTCTCTCCCCCCAGTAGGCCCCCATTCTCATGCCCCCCACCCAGTGTAGGCCTGAGGCCCTGCAGCAAACAGTGTCTAACAGGAGCAGGCAGCACAAAGACAGGAATGGGAGATTAGTGGGAGGGAGGGAGGCCGGGATTGGGGCTCAGCAGGAGCTTCAGGCTTTTTAAAATTCAAACTGCTCCCTGACCAATACAAATCACGGACACGCTACTGACTACTACACGGATTTATAGCATTAAAAACATGCCTAGTACGTGACAGCTATATTAACTTCACTCTTTCTAACATTTCTCTATACGTTTGCAGTAAATGCGGAACAATTTATTTTAAGCAGAGTGCTAAACTCAAAAATAACCTTCAGAAAAGTTACTTATTCTACAATGACAATAATAATTTAATGAGAAAAAATTCGAACCAATGTAACACCCCCTAGTAAAACAAGGGACTCTGTTGACCAGTGTTGCTTCATTTTAACCAATGAAAAGTTTCCCTTCAGCGAATATGAGACAAAGTATCAAAATAGTCTAACCCAGGTACATCTATTTTTCTATCCAATTTGTATGGCTTAACACTTTTAAATTGGTTGTTTTTCCCTTACACCAACCTAGTTACCAGCGCCTCCATAAACAAGCTCTAAACACTTAACTTACACATGAACTAGAATTCATGATATAACTGATATTTTTCTCCAGCATTTACAGATACATTTGACCTATTAAAATGACACCTCTCTCATTACACAGTCAAACATCATGGGCACAAACAGCCAATGACAATCCTGGGACCTCAAGAAGATCTGCTCTGACATGAAAGGATGGCACCTTGTACATTTTTTTAACCTCTCAGGGATTTTAAGCATAACTTAATTTGTATACTTTTAAAGACAATTGGTTTTACCTGTATCTCAGCACAACTCTCAGGACATTTAAAATCCCTTTTATGCTTCTACACGTTTGGATCAGGAAGTACCCGAGTATTTTACGTATAGTCGTTTAAAATTGTTCTTATATAACACATACAAATGTAAAGTGGCAGGGTAAACCTGTCAAGTACTTTATACTTATCTTTGACTATAAAGTCCATGTGCAACACACACTGTCAAAGAACAACATAAAAGCTCTTTTGGGGGGGGGGATATGCGGTGTCTACCACACTATGGTTTTCTGTATTAAATATTTATGTGGACAGTCTAATTCTTTAAAAAAAGAAAACGAGTCTTTATTAACTTTCCAACGTCCAAACAAGTTTTACACAGGCAAAGAATTACCACTGGATCCGTGTCTGAGTATTTACATTTGTCTCACTAACTGAAACTACTTCCTCCCTTCATGGGGTCACAGGGGGAAGAAGGGGGGTTGTTTGTTTCACTGGGACGTTCCCCACTCCCGGACCAGGAAAGTTGTAAATATGGGGACGATCAGGGCACATTTGCTGTTAGTTGTATTGTTTCCGCCTCCTCACTAGCTACGGCTCCTCTCCCGGGCGAGGCCTGTCACCGACCAGCAGTAGCTCCGTTCAGCCCGGAGCTCTCCTAATCCCCGAGCTCAAGTAGATTCCGCTGGCCCGCGGCCTGCACTCTCCGCCGGGCCTACGCCTCCCCGGCCGCCCGGCAGGAGCCCAGTCCCCGCCACCGCAGCCGGCCGGGAGAGGGTACAAAACCACCGCCACCCAGGGCGGCTGCCACCGGAGAGGAGCGAACTCTAGACTCGCCCGTGGAGGAGACCTGGGGCCGCTAAGGAAACGGCGGGGAGGGGAGCGAGGAGGAGAGACGCTGAGGACCTGGCGCCGCCGCCGCCGCCGCCGCCGCCGCCGCCGAAATAAAGAGCAGGAATTTACCTGGGCGAATCGGCGTCTGAATCCAAGGGGAGGCCGAGGCCGCTGTGGCGAGAGACTATAATCCGGGCCGGGAGGGGGGGTGGCTACGGCTCCTCTTCCGTCTCCTCAGTGCGGGGAACATGTAGAGCCGGGGGGAGACCAGCCGAGAAGACAAATCGCTGCTGCTTCTTCCTCCTCCTCCTCCTTCTCCCACATAGAAACACTCACAAACACCCGGCCGGGGGCCCGAGCTACCGGGGGGGCATCGCCGCCGGCCCGGGAACCAATCCTCCAGTCGGCGGGGGCGTCCCTCCCTGCGGCTTGGTGGTGTCGGGTGAGTCGGTACCGACGGAGGGAGG